TGTGGTTTCTCATGCCGTCTGCTGCTATTTAATTTGGCACCATGATTGACTAGCTAATCTTTGATAGGGGGCACCACGTGTCATTTCTCCAGATCAGCTGGGAAGGTATTGCTCAATGTACCTCCTTCTTGCGAACAGAGAAGTCCCAGTTTCAGTTTTTTTCTACTTGCCTGTAGTTTACCTGGTGATACATGGTGTTTTTCCCAACTATTGACTAAAAGACATTCTGTTCTTTTCTGTTTTATTTTGTGCTGCTTCTAAATGATGTCTCTGAAATCGTCTTTCTATGGTCACGTGATGTGCTGCAAACTGCCAAGTCTGTACTGGAAGGCCACACCAGACGTCTCAAATATTTAACAGGTTATCTTCTTTGGTACAAAAAATTATCTGAACCACACAAGCAACATACCTGGTCTATGCTTTTGTGTTATGACTATAGTTCTGTAAAAAAAAAAAAAAAAAGGATTTTAAGCTAAAACTAAGCTAATGTTAACCTTAGACCATCAAGTTCAGTGAGAAAAACAGACCAAGACAACATGATAGGATCATTCAACGCTTTTATAAAACAGCATACATTTCAAAGACTACACCCCACTATTTGGACAACAATTAAAATATCATTTTTCCTAACTCTCCCCTGGTCTCTGTATATACAATACCCTTATTGGAGTTGGCTTAGAATAAGCAGCACATCACAGCAAGAAGAAATGTCCAAAGCCTCTGGTATAAACTTGATACATGGCAGCGGCCTGTGACTACAGATTGGTTTCTCTCGACTATTTTGTTTTCAACAGCCTGGTGTTTAGCTTTGGGATTCAGCTCAGTTGCATGTAGCAGGTGACAAAGTGTGAAACAAAGGCAGAGGTAATGGATGTAACTGACTACATATTTCTTTGTCAGCCAAATTATTGCTGTACCTTTATGTTTTAGCGTAACATCTGCCTTTTATTTTAATGTCAGTTTTTTTAATTTAAGAGTAAGATGAATTTGTTGAAAATTGTGGCTTTTGACTAGTCTTCAGCCAAATAGCATGTTTTGCTCCTTATGGGTTTTTGAGTTCTCCAGCACTCCAGCGCCAACTTAGTATGTGCAGGCTGATCAAATTTCAACCTTGTGAGAACATCTTTAAAGCATTAGACCTAATGGTCGTCACTTCCCCTCTTTAGTCTTGCTGCTCTCCATGATTTCAATTCTCTTTAGGCATTCTCCTCTTGTTTTCCATTCTGCTCCTTATGTCCTCTTTTCTACTCCTCCTTCCTCATTGGTTCCCAGTGCTGGCATTTCACTGTAGGGAAACATTGTCTTCTGCCACCATGATGCAGTCTTCCCTCTGACTGTGTCGTCTGAGAAGGCTGGCCTGCAGAAACAATGAGGTGGATTGTCTCAATTTGTCAAGACAGCAGGGGTCAGAGTACCACTGGCGTCAAAGAACGTTTCCCACTATGCTGAACAAATGACGTTTACTTGAAGATCTACAGTACATCTGAATTAAACAGATTTACGCAAACACAGATCCGTACCTTTGATTTACTTTTTTCTTCTCCTTCTTTTTTTTTTTTTTGTAGCAGATGGGAAAGCTGTTATGTTTATGACAAAGTTTGATTTTTGATTTTTGACATAAAAGCTATGCAGCAGAAGTTTTAACAGCAGTCAATTCCAGGCTGTGAGTGCCAGCGTTTGCTTAGTACATCAGAAGAAGATTATAGTGCACGCTATGCTCTTCTCTGGTGATGACTGTGTTTTGAATGCCCTCTAGATTTGGGCCAAGCTTTTGATGAGTCAGCCTCCCTATGATCTCTTGTCACAGTCTCATCTGTCGTGGACATCATAATCAGGAAAATCCTAGAGGCCACAGTGCAGACAGGTGTGCGTTCGTGCGTCCAACCATAGATGAGGGAATGTTTCTGTCATATTTCATGCATCGTGTTGTTGAGGAATTCGGAGGTAGAATTGGCGATGAAAACTAGAGAAACACACCAGAACACACCCAGACCTTTATTAAACCTTCTCTTAAATAGTTTCTATCTTCATACTTTTATTTTTCTTGATGTGTGTTGAAACTGAATATAGATTCATCAACTAGGCTTTGATCTTGATATATTTATTAATCTTTAGTCTAATTTTCTGATTCTCATTTAGACTGTTTGGACTCTGAATGTTTTTTATACCATAATGCATGACCAAAACTCAGTATGAATAAAGATAAATTAAAGGATTTAGAAGATTGTTTGTGTTAATAGAACAAAGAATAGGTCCCTGACCTTTATCAGATAAAAAAAAGAAACTAGCAGATGCTTTATGTTAATGGAATCATAGACAGAAAATGATGAGACTTCATAATTAAGATGGATTTGATGACTTGGGTTTTTAGTTTTTGATGTTTTCGAAGATATTTGATTCCCATCTTTGGCTAACATTTCTGTTTAATTTGCTTTCTGAGTGATCATTTTGACATGTATAATATAAAGCTCAGAATTATCCATACTCTGTCAGATTTAGATTTTAAATTATGTTCATTTGAACTTTGCTTTTTGATGCCAAGTCGGGCAGCTTGTCCCAAAAGGCAATCAAATCATTTTTAAGAGGAAATAATGTTGAAATACTCTTTGTCATTTAATGAAAAACCAGCAGTCATCAAAAAAAAAAAAAAAAATCAAATCTGACAAAAGTAATAATACAATTTATTAAAAAGGGAACAAATAAAAGTCAGACATTGCTTTTCAACAGAATTAATAAAAAAAAAAACTCATAGAACATTTAAAGAAAAAAATTTCACTCATTATGCCAATTTTTTTTTTAATCCTTGAGTTGCCACAAAGCTACTCTGTCATCAAACACTAAAAATGCAAAATATTTCTACATGACCATTTAAGATTGTGTAAGATGTTTGTATCTCCTGTAAAATAAGACTTTAATTAAAAAAGACTGTGTATTAGAGACGGTTTCCTCTGTTCCATCATAAAAACAAGCTATAGTGTTTTGCCACGCCTCAGTTTCCAATGCATGTTTGCCAATCTGCTGTTTCATCCATCCACATTCCTTTGAGGTTTAGTGCACAGCATTTGAGGCAGGTGTGGTGGCTGGAGCAGGTGACACTGTGTGTCTTATGTTTCCTGTTGCTTTTTTTAGTTACATTTCCCTTTATCCTACTGCTTAGAATAAGCCGTGTCTGTTTTGGAAAAACCTGTTGAATATAAAACCCTAACGTTGGTTTTGTTTATGCTGCTGTTGTTCCAAATGTTGTCTGAGCCTTTCTTATCAACACACCAGGATGATAAATCAACTCATGTCACCTTCCTCATACTTAGCTGTGTGTTGCGTTATTGTGTGTTGCGACGCGGCTTTGTTCTGAGAGTGGGAAGTTTTTGATGTTTTAAATGGAAGTGGCACTGAGCTGACATTTGTTGCAGTTTCAGTTTGTTTGGTCCACTCACAGCAGTAGCTTATCTATAGTCTCTATATGAATTTTGCTGTTAAAAAGGTAGACCTCTTTAAGTAAAATACCTCCAGTTTATAGACCCTTTAATAATTTTACCTGCAAGCACTCATACTCTCTTTTCCCAATGTTGTACAGTTAATTGAAATTTACATTCAATATGGATAATATTGTTTAGGGATGCACGATATTGCGCTTTTGGCC